AATCCAAGAAGGAAAAAAAGTCAAAGTCCAAGAACGTCGAGGAGCAGGAAGAAGACATCGAGACGATCCTCGCCAACTTTAAGAAGGAGGTAAATATACTTAAACCAGACAACGGAAGGAAAAAAAGGAGGAATCGAGATACTGGAGACGCATTGTAGATACTCAATCCGCTTGACATTTTTTATTTTTTGGCGTTATTAGCAAGAGGAAAAGGTCAAGATTATCGAGGAAGTCTGGAGTGGTCCCCCAAGGTATCGGACGAACCCATGTTCGATCATATATCGAACACGATCTCTTCTTTTTTTTTTTTTTTTTTTTTTTTTTTTTGGTAAACCACTCCTTTTAATCTAGTAGAGCTAACGCGCTTCTTCTCTCTCTCTCTCTCTCTTTTCTACTCGACCGTCTCTAGTCGACGTGCGAATGCTACCCTGACCGCGAACCCACTCAACTCAAACGAGCTTATCTTTTTCGGAGGAGAGTTTTACGATGGTGCCAAATGGTAACATACCCACAGACAGACATGCACACATGCTTACTTACTTAATGTGTGCGGACCAAATTATTGTCGTTGGCCACACGGACGTCTTTCATTCTCTTACCTCTCTTTCTTTCTCTCTATTACTTTGCATTATCATTATTGATCAATAGCGCCTTCTACAACGATCTGTATCGCTACAACATTGAAAAGGACGAATGGCGCAGGATCACATCCCCGAATTCTCCAGGACCCAGGTCCTCTCACCAGGTCGCTATCACAGCCGCAGGAACCCTGTTCCTCTTTGGAGGAGAGTTTGCCTCGCCTAACGAGACCCAGTTTTTTCATTACAAGGTATGTTACCACTGTCCTCCCTTCTTCTTTTCCTAGGTTGTTGAATCATTATTAATTGACGCTTTTTTTTTTTTTTTTTTTTTTTTTTTTTTTTTCTCTCCTCTCCACCAACCCAACCTCGAACCAACAGGATTTCTGGTCGATGGACATGAAGACCAACGCATGGGAGAAACTCGAGGTCAAACCCAAGCCGACCGCTCGTTCGGGCCATCGCATGGCCCTTTGGAAACACCTCCTCGTAGTCTTTGGTGGATTCTATGACAATTACGTCGATACCCGGTACTACGACGACCTCTGGGTCTTTGACACCCTCGATTACAAATGGACCAAAGTCGAGCTCCCCGACCAGATGATTCGTCCCTCCGCCCGCTCCGGGTTCTCCTTCATCCCCTGTACCGAGGGCGTCATCCTCTATGGTGGTTATTGTAAGGAGTACACCAAGGGACAACGACCCAAGGGAATCGTCCACACCGATACCTGGCTCCTCAAGATGAATGTCGATCCGAAACTGATCCGGTGGGAAAAGAAGAAGAAATCCGGATCCGCGCCCACGCCCCGCTCAGGGTGTGCGATGGCCCCCTATAAGAATCGGGCCGTTTTGTTTGGAGGCGTTTATGATGACGATGTGAACGAGGAGACCTTGGAGAGTACCTTCTATAACGAGCTGTATACCTATCAGATCGATACCGGAAGATGGTTCCCCATGAACCTGAAGAGGCCCAAGACTGCAGGCAAGAAGAAGAAGTCGAGGAAGAATAACAACAAGGCTGGCAGTGGCGGTGCCGGCGGTGCCGGTGAGGATGGCGAGGATGGAACCGGAAAGAGGGAGAAGATGAAATGGGAGGAAAGCACGGACGATGAATTTGACTATGGCGATTTCGAGGACAGCGAAAATGAAGAGCAGGAGAAGGGTACCGTTACAGGAACTGCAGAGGGCTCCGTCGCAGGAACAGACGAGCAGCAGCAGCAGGAACCTGCAGCGGAAACGAGCAACGCGGAGCCACAACCTTCGACCAAGGAAGCCCTGGCGGCCGCGGCCTTGGCAGCAGCGGGTATCCTGCCAAAGGCCTCCCAGACACCCGAGTCTGCTACAGCTGCTGCAGAACGAGATACAGCGACCAAGAAATCAAAATCTGGACGATCCACCGGCAGAGGCAACAGCAGCAACAACGATGCTGACAATAACGAGGCCGAGGAAGAGGAGGAGCCGCTGATGCCCTGTCCGCGCTATAACCCTATGCTGGCGGTCCAGAAGAGTACGCTGTTCATCTTTGGCGGCATCTTGGAAGTCAAGGACCGCGAGTACACTCTAGACGACTTCTTTTCGCTGAACCTGGATAAGATGACCGAGTACATTTGTTTGCGTGAGTCAGAATTCGAGTCGCAACTCTGGCTCGGTGAGGAATCGGACGATGATGAAGAAGGAGAGGACGAGGAGGGTGATGAGGATGACGAGGATGAGGATGACGAAGACGAGGACGACGAGGACGACGAGGAAGAAGAGGAGACTGAAGTAGTCGAGGAAGTCGTGGCCGAGTCCAGTAAGAAGGACAAGAAGTCCAAGAAGGAGAAGGATGGCAAGGACAAGAAGGACAAAGCAGAGAAGGAGAGTAAGGAGGGCAAGGAGGGCAAGGAGGGCAAGGAGGGCAAGGAGGGCAAGGAGAAGAAAGATAAGAAGGAGAAGAAAGAAAGGAAGGACAAGAAGGAGAAGAAGGACAAAGCAACGGCAGAATCAACACCAAGTGCTGGTGCCAGTGATCCCAGTACCGCTGCTACTGCTGACGCCGCTGCTGCTGGCGATGGCACTAAGGTCGAAGGAACTGGCACCCCTGTGGAAGGAGGTGATGCGGATGAAGCACCCGTTGAGGTGGTGCCCTCACAGTTGAGTGGTGTCGATCTCGCGGCCCGTTTGGCCATGACCGAGGAAGAGGCTGCCTGCACACCAACCATCGGAGAGACACTCAGGGAGTTCTATGGACGTACAAGTAAGTCTTTGGCTTTATCACTTTTGGGATATCTTGGCATACGTCCACTAGACCATCGTCGCAAGTTGCTGATTTCGTACTAATACAAATGTATTCTCTCTCTCTCTCTCAAAAAAAAAAAAAAAAAAAAAAAAAAACCCCCCAGCCGAGTACTGGGTGCTGAAGGCATTCGAGGACAGCACAAAGACGGGCAAGGCCCTCCGTCACGACGGCTTCTTGCTCGCAGAGGCCAAGTTCAACGAATGGCAGCCTATCCTCGCACAGATGGCGCAGATGCGTCTGGACGCAGGTCTAGACGAAGACGACGACAACGATCAGGCAGCACGCATGGGCGGACGTGGTGGGGTCCTCAAGATGGGCGAAGTCTACAATAAGCTAATGTCCAGGCATAGACGATAGAGATGTAGAAAAGCATGAAGCTACTTAGTGTTGAAAAATAGTAAATCAATCCATCTCTTTTCTTCTCTTCTTTTTCTTTTTCAGATGAAGATGCGGAAGCCCTATAGCAGAACCGTCGTTGAGAGGGGTTCCAAATTTGATCCGACCAACGATCTAATACCATCTCCCATATTTATTTTAAATCATCTTTCAGTTATGAGTGGAGAGGGGGAGGGAGTTTTACTAGCCATGATGCACGCCTTTGCCCTTGTTCAGATGATTCGGCTCCTCATCCTTCGCCACAAGTGATGCTGTGAACCCATGTGTCTTCGCCGCAGCCTCGGCCAACGCCTTGACCGCCTCCTGAACATTCGGCGACATCAGCAGCGGGTGTCCCTTAGCAACCTTGACCACAACCCCGCTATGTGCGACCGCACCCCCCGGCAACAGACCCGCCTGCAAGACTACGATCTCCTTATCTGCTCCTCGCTCGCCTCCTTCCTCATCTTCATTGTCCGACTCGTCCGTCGATAGCTCTCCTCCCACACGAGTCCTGTCCGGATCACGTCTGTTCCTGTGGTTACTACTACTCTCTCCGATCGAGGGCTGGTTCACAATAGGCGATTGCTCGAAAAAGATGCGCCCACTATGTTTGGGTACACCGCCATGGCCCAGCAACAAGGTCGCCATGCCCGGCATCGGAGAACAGAGACCTGCAAGCGCCAGGATCTTGCCAAGGTATTTTACAGCCTGGTGCGCGACTTTACCACCAGGGATCAGTTCCTTGACCACATCACCAGTATGCGGGTCGGCGAGATCGCCCTCGTGGCGTTCAGAGAGCACTGTGGCGAGAATAGCGCGGTCGCTGTGAGTCAGCCCGTAGCAGTTCGCGAGCGCACCTCCAGGTAAGAAGAGCTGCCAAGCAGCCGTGGACCGGGCTTCCTTGGGCAGCTGGTTGTAGCAGTTCATGACCATGACCAGGAGTGGAACCAACCGTGGCAGACTGTCGATAAAGAGCTGCAGCTCTGCCGCATGTTTAGGAGAAAGCGTGCCATGGCTGTCCCCGTTCGTCGCCGCCGTTTCTGAGGAGGTAGAGGAGGATGATGCGAGCCGACAGCGTTCCGCAAAGTCCGCTGGCAAAGCCGACGACACGAACGAGAAGAGAGACTGCAGATCTGAATCATGCAGTGCAGGTTGTCCTCCACCATAGGCCCGGACAAAACTCTGGACGGTCTCATAAGCGGGGTCCCTATTCTGGATCTCCCTCGACAACATCCCAAAGCATCCTCCCTGACGAACGCCGCCTTCCGAGAACAGGACATCCTTGATCTCGATCGCCTTCATGACCGCAGCCATGAGTGTCGCGCAGGCAGGGATTAATTTCGCACGTCGCTTCGAGACCCTGAAACATGTCTTGACCTCCTCGGGAGCCAAGTGTCGGTACTCATCAACAACCTTGGTCAGCTCCTTTTTAGACGCCATGTACCCGTTAATAACCGGGATCGGGTATCGTTTCTCGTCCTTGCCGTTCTTCATCTTCCTGGCCATCAGCAGGTATCCCAGCGCGCGGAAACCGCCCCCAGAGAGATACATCCGATATCCGCCCTCACGTCCATTAACCTCGGGTGGGATGTTGATATCCTTAAGTCCATGCTTGAACGCCGAGACCATTTCGTCAAAGATCGCCTCTCGGGCCGCCTTGTCATGTCCGCAATTATTCAGTCGTCTCGAGAGTGCTGCTGCTCCATATGGCCACGACTGCGCGTTGGGGCTACTCTTACCCTGTCCATCATTGGGTCCTCGAATGATATAGTTCAGCTGCACAGATCCACCGCCCAGGTCCATGAACAATCCTTGGACGGTATGATAGGACGCCATGACGCCGAGGGCACCGATATTGGCCTCCTGAGCCTTTGAGAGCAACTCGACCGACCAACCCGTCGCGGCCTTGATCCTCGCCTGGAACTGCTCAGAGTTGGGTGCTGTCCTTGTGGCCTCGGTGGCAATGACACGGACGGTCCGGACATTGGCCTGGCGACAAAGCGCCTGCCACCGCTCAAACGTCCTCACGACTTCATCAATGACCTTTTCGCTAATCGGTCTGCGCTCCGAGGATGCAGACGAAGGGCCGCCGGTTTTGACCTTGGAGTCCACAGCCGTAGGTCTCGGTCCAGGACCGACCGCGATCGTCAGATCATTATCCTCGAACGTGACCAAGGTTCTCCTGAGGGCGGCCCTGCGTTCATGTTCCTCAGCCGTGTATCTGCTATTATCATCGTCCAGGTCATCATCATCACCGCCATCGTCATCGTTCTCGTCGCCCGCATGACCGTTCGCCTCGTCTTCTCCGTCCTGTGAAGCCATGGCCGCGATCGTATTCGCGTTCGAGATCGAGGGTGTGACCGCAGGAACGGCACTCCTGCTAGAGGAGCTGCGTCCAAGTCCCTTTTTCTTGGATGACGGCGATACCTCTGCTGGTCCCGCTTTGATGTTGAATGCGTCTCCATCGGACTCGTCCGGATCTGAAGAGAACTGGGCCTCGAAGAGCGAGATGGCCGCTCGTTCTTCGTAGAGGACTGGGAGATGTCGGTCGAATGAGGCGATGATGCCGAAGCGGATACCGTTGCTGCCCATGTCAATGATCGCGAGCGGTGCGTGGATCCCCGAGGAGAGGCCGGAGCTTGAGGAAGAGGAGGAGCCATTGAGGGATGAGGATGGGGAGCGTCTGGTGGCGGCGGCGGCGGCGGCGGAGGGGGAGAAGAGGCCCCTGAGGGCATCGAGACATCCAGGCATGACTGCGTTGCTCTTGCTTCGCGGGGACTTGCAGAGAAAGAAGAAAAGGAGGGTGGGGCACGGGGAGAGGTATAAGTGAGGATGGTGGATCGAGACAAAGAAGAGGGGGGATGGAGAGGAGGGATGAAGAGGGAAAAGAGAATGAGGAGGGGTGGATGCGAGGAATGGGCATGAGGGGGAAGAAGGGCCACAAGGCCAGGCCCGCTTCAGGGCGGGCATTCAAAAGCTCAAAAGATGTAAAGATGCCGCTTATCAAACCGCCCCCCTGTGCCGACATGGACTACATGTACATGCGATGCTCGTCCACCCATCTCCCTGCCACTGCGTCCAGCGTGCGCGATTTTCATGGCCCATCGATACACCACGCCACTGCAGGCAGTCGATCTTCTACTACCCTCTCGCTCTCTCTCTCCCTCTCTCTCTCTCTCTCTCTTCCTCTCTCTCCCTGCATCTTGTGTATGTAGGCCAAGCCGTGCTACACCTCCCATTATGCCAATCGGCATTGCATCCCTGTCTCCCTGTCTAGACTCACCACCCCCGTACCTAAATCCCACCTCCATACCTTGCCCCTAACAAAGAGACGCTGAAAGGCGCGTCGGATCACACCAGCAACGTCAACCGAGCAAGTTGCTGCAAAGGCGCCTCCGAAGACCAACCCCAGGCTCTCACCAACATGTCCTCTTTTTACGCGCTCGAGCCACGCGCGTATGGATACCCTCTTTCTCCCCCCAAGACGCGTCCATTAGTCGGGAGGGGGGTTTCTTCCTCTGGTCAAAGGCACCTTTCCAGAGCAGGAAGGTGCACGGTCCAACTGAGAACGACCTGCTTAGCCCAACCTTCGTTGCATTTTGCAGTGGACAAGCATCGACACTACGTATGCCGAAAGAAAAAGAAAAACCACACGCCATACGATCAATTCATTCTTTCTTTTTTTTTTTTTTTTTTTTTATAGAGAGAGAAAAAAAAAAAAAAAACGTCTATTAGCAGGATGAATGAATCATGCAGAAATAAACAAAAAAAAAGGACTAAAATACAGGAATCGAAAGGGCGGTGGAGGTAGTTGGGGGGCAAGGATAAATCATGGTCAGAAAGCCCAATTGAAGTGGGAAACGATCAGGAGTATACACACATCCGGCTGTGTCTCTGTCCATACGTACGTGTGTTTTATGCGTGTCGATGGAACAGAAATCGGCTGCAGTCCATCCCAAATGGCCCAGAAGGTCGCGCTGAACGATCCTATTTGTCACTGTCGGGCGTCGTCGCGATCGCAATCGCTACCGTCCCCTCCTCCCCCATTTTATTGCTTCTTTGTGCCGTCGTCCTTCTTCTTGATCCACATGGGCTCTGGATCTGCGGCGGCCTGCCTCAACACGTCCGATATAGCCTGTCGACGCGCCTGATCCGACTTCACCAGTTCGTATTGCTTCTTCAGCTCCGGCGACAATTTCTAATGTTATCAAAATAATCCAACATTGGTGTTTCTGAGTTTGGTTAGTTACAAGTTCTGTCGTGCTTTGTTGGAATGTCGCTGTTGCTTTCGCTGCTCCCATTAGAAACGAGCTCGGATCTGTTTTCCGGACAAAACATCCATGACGAAAAATAAAAAAAAATAAAAAATAAAAATAAAAATAAAAAGAGACATGCCTCGTAGAGCTGCTCCTCTGTAGGAACCGTGGTGAGCATGAGTGCGTATCCCAAACCGACGATTCCGAACCCAACGGCGAATGCTTTCGGATAGTTGCCCATAGCGATGCTATTGTTGAATGTAAAGTGGAGACTCTGTGTGTGCGTGTGTGCGTGTGAGAGGGATGTAAACGGTGCGGGAAGTGGGTCAAAGCAGAAAAGGGAATAATGATCGCATAGTCAGGTGACTCTTTCGCCGGGACGCAAAGAAACGGCCCGTGGCCCCATTTCGTTGTCAACCATTTCCCCCTCCCCCTCCCTCCCCTTCCCTTCCTCTTCATATATTCCCCTCTCCACAGCAACAACGTATACCAACAACCATGACCGAAAACCTGCCCAGCATGGCCGATGCCGACAGCTGCCTCTCCGAAAAGGAGCTCGAGGTAAATAGACAGCGCAGGATCAGCCCCTTCTCAGTCGGAATCGCAATGTCAACTCCAGCTACGCTTTGACCGGTGCCGTGTTCCTAATCAGTCCTTCTCTCGACTCTCTTCCAACAGGTTCTGAAGAAGCAGTACATCCGCGAGGGCGAGTATGTCACAGAGCAGACCCGCTTCAACTATGCCTGGGGCCTCATCAAGAGCAAGAACAGGCGTGACCAGACCCAGGGCGTGCTTATTCTCACAGGTACAGGATCAATCCGTCCATGTCTGACTGCCAAGAGTCGACTTTTCCTTCCGCGCACACAACCTCCGCCGGGACATGCTGACTCTGCTCTATTTATGGAAACCCTGATCGCCACTTGCTTACTGACATCTCTCTCTATCTCCCGTTCTACAGACATCTACAGAGAGGTCCCAGACAGGAGACGCGAGTGCCTCTTCTACTTGGCCCTCGGCCACTTCAGGCTCGGAAACTACAACGACGCTCGCAAATTCAACGAATCCCTACTCGAATTCGAGCCCAATAACTCCCAGGCCCATGCCCTTCGTCAGGAGATCGAGGATCGCGTTGCCAGGGGTAAGTGCGAATCCATCTTGGCTGGCGGTCCTATTTCATGGCGCACACACAGGAATGGATGGATATACCATGGTTCCCGATTAATGTTCTTGACTGACCATATGTTTATCTCTGGATCCCTATCTTTCGTATCATTCATTACTAGAGGGATACATCGGAATGGCTATTGTCGGTACCGTGGCAGCAGTAGCCACGGGCTTGCTCTTCTCGGTGATGAAGAAGAAGTAAAGCATGCAGAAAATAAACTATCGAGAAATTCAGTCCACATCCATTCACACATTCACATATCCATTTAAACGTTGCATGGCCCATAGCAGCCCTCCAACCAGATTGCACTTGCCTTTTGGAAGTATCGAATAGCAAGCAATAAACAGACTATTTATTGCGACTTCATTATAAATACAGCTGCTGCATGACCGCCCGTCGGATCTTCCGATTACAGCTGGGGCACGTTCCAGTCGCCCTTTTGACAAGCTTGAAACCCGCATTCACTGCGTCTGAAGATACACCTTGATTTGAACCTCCTTGCATAGTATCCTGCTCCTCCTGTGCATCTGCATCCACATCCATAATTGTGCCTGTCCATCTGCCCTTGCCCTTGTCCTTGGCCTTTGCCCTCTTTGAGATCGACTGCCGTCGTCCCTTGCTTGGTTTGATGGGAACCTTGGTGGTAAACATGACTTCGACGCAGTCTTCGCAGACGACATGACCGCAACCCGTCACCACCCACAACGTAGTCTTATCCTTGCCCTTGTGTCCCAGTTCCTTTTCACAAATAGGGCAGGCAACAATGACATCCCCTGCGAGACTCTTTGTATGTCCAGGCCGAGCAGGTACAGACGGCTTGGGTTCCATCGGCTCCGGTTCCGGGTCCATCTCATCCCATGTCGGTGATGTTCGCATGCCTGGTCCCATGTACATGTCGTTCCATATTGGTGGCGATCGCATACGAGAACGCCGTCGCCGTGGCGTCGAGTCGAATCGGCGGCTGTAAGCAAAGAAGTTATGGAACATGTTCGCGAAATCCGAACGATCTCGCCGCTCCTGTTGCCGCTGTTGCCTGGTCTCGACCGCGAGAAGGTCGCGCAGGATTGCTAGTGAGAGCCTCCGATGTTCACTCTCAGGCGTCCGTTGTGGTTGCGGATAGTGTGGCATGTAATCGGAAGGATAAGGGTCCATGAAGATATTATGAAGACTTCGTGCTCCTGTGGTCGAACTCTCGCCGCGGTTGTTATTGCTTCCCCCATCGCCAGGGGTCTCGCTTATGAACTGAACGTCGTCATCGTCATGGTTGCCTTGGTCATCGTCACTGTTGACCTCGATGATTTCGATGCTCTGGCTCGGCAGGGTGCTCGGATGAAGGATTCGAGGCGGTGCTGGTCCTGTCAGGTCGATGACGGATCCTGAACTGGTGGCCGGCCTCCTCTGTGGCTCTTGCAGTAGCTGTTACAAAGAGACATTGGTAAGCAGAGCTGAAAAGGACAAGTGCCAAACCCAGTTAATCCAGTTACAGGGACAAAGGCTTGAATCACATCCAAACATTTACCTGATTGAAGGGAGACAGAGAAACTTGGCTGGTGGAGCCACTCATCGCTTGCTAATCTGTTCTGGGATGTGTATGATGAGGTGATGTTGCTTTTGTGTAAAGCGGGATCGGATGCTGCGCTTGAAGGGGAATCGAGTGGAATGAAATGAAAGCAAAGAGAGTGGAGAAGGGTCTCCGGTACCAACGAATGTTCTGGCTGGGCATAAAAAAAAAAAAAAAAGGCTGGATCCTAGTCACTAGTCACAACCTTCCAAAAATGGCAGGTACACAAGACGCGTATGACACTGAGAGCAGGCTAGCTATTGCTCCATAAACAGCTACTTCCATAGCGCGCTGGATACTTTTATCCGCATCGACGGAGTAAGGCGCGTTCCAAAGAATTGCCCTCGCTATTGTTCTGCTCCACTTTGAACCTCTATTCCACGTTATTGTCTGTTATTTGAATGGTGATTGCTGTAACGACAGAAGAAACCAGCGACTCAAATCTTGTCACCCTGCAGCTACACACACTTGGAGATAAGTGATATCGACAAAGGAGTGCCATTAGTGTGCATCTTAGAGGCCACTGTGCGCTGTCGAAGGAGTGCTTGTGTTTGTAAGCTAGATATGAGACGTTACAATGGGACGTAAAAGGCGAAGAACTGGCAAAGGCATTTTGTTGACGTTCATAAACACTCAGCAAAAGGAGGAAAAGGTGCGACTTCAAAGGAAACCAAAGTCATTTACCGGTCTACATCAAATAAAAAGAAGTAGTAGCGAAGTGAAAGTGGAATATGGCTAGAATACAATGGCAATGACATGGCAGCGGCATACTAACTACAATGGACACAATCGACAATGGCGCTTGCTGGCCAAGGCTATGCCTCCTCATCATCATCCTCGTTCAGTTGTGCATCAATATCGTTCTCCAGATCGTTCAAAAAGTCGTCATCGTCGTCTTCTTCCTCTCCTGCGTCTCCGCCGTCCCTCGTCGATGAATGGTCCATCGTGATCTCGTCGTCTGCGTCCATATCCGCCTCGTTGTCTGCACCAAGATCTTCAGGGCCACCTGGTAATGCTAAGTGTGCCGCGATATTTCCATTCTCCGCAACCAACCGCCTTCGTTTGCTTTGTCTCACTGGTTGCTCTCCGTCACTGAGCACTTCACTCCCGGCAACACTATCTTCACCATCAGAGCCATTTTCCTCGTCAATGTCTCCATCACTGTCGTCCTGACTCTGATTACTATCCTCTACACCATCCATCCTTCCCATACCAAGGTTGTCCGTCGTCAAGGCATTAGCGTCATCCTCATCATCTTCGTCATCGCTGCCGCCCCCATAGGTTACTGACGCACCTAGGCCAGACCTGCGTGGTATCCGTGTTCGCTTCAGGTTCACAAGTGGCGACCGGCCACCATCTGTGCTGGCGTCACTCTGCGCGTTGCTGTGTGTACTATTCAGTGAAAAAGAGAAAAAAAGATTGGGCGGTCGATTAGCAATAGGAAAGGAATAAATGCATGTTGCAATATACCAAAGGACATGATAATGCGGATCGCTATGAATCACCCGCAGAAGCAAGAAAATGAGGAGATAAATGAGAATGCTGGAAATGCTAACCTCGTATCACTGTCAAAATCAGTGTCGTCCAAATCCCCAACAAAGTCCTCGACTTCTTTATCTAAATCATCCCAGTCCACACTCTTCAGATGCTCATTCACCATGTCTTTGTCTATGCTCAGGGGACGGTGATTTTCATCCATACCCTCGGAGACGCTTCCTGGATCGTCTTCCACTGCACCCATGTCCACCTCCTCCTCCAGTTCTGTTGGCGGTGGCGTTGTCGACATTATCGCGGACTTGCCAGGCCCATCCAGCAGCGGGTAATCTGATTCTTCCTGCCTTTGCCACTTTCCAATTGAACGATACAGCCACTCTGGTCGAACGACTTTGATATCCCTGCGCTTCCGTGCCTGCATCACTTTAGCGGTTCCGGGCTAATGGGTTAGAGGTCCAGAAAACAAGAGGAAATGTAGGTGAGCTCAGATTCACGCCGCGGCAGCTCCATAGCAGCGCTGAATGAACGCATAGTGTTCTTCTTACCTTGGCGGCAACAACATGGGTGACATTCTTATTGAGATTGTATGAGCATTCTGCTCCAAAACTTTGGGCCTGTCTCCAAATGTCCGCCCGCTCAGGAGCCTGTCCTAATGGAATCACGCTACTAAAGACCAGGTTGACTCCTCGCAGGACACTTTTCTTCATGTCGTGAATAATGGCCTAGCATCAGGATCAGATCTCGATTAGTATCTCGATTAAACGTAAAATCCTTTTTGATGCAAGATACCTGAAATCCGACATACCTTGACATCGGCCTTCCTTTTGGATTCTCCTTGTAGAAATTGCTCTCTCGCATCATAAAACCGTTCATGAATTGTTTCAAGGACCTAAGGTTATGTCGCCAAAGAGTCGCAGTAAGTAATTCAGAACAATATAATTCCGAAAAGAACCCTGCAACATCCACTTGAGCGAAGCACTAACCTCCAAAATGTACTTCAGTTCGTTATCGTTATCATCCGTCACTGGCGCCTTTGGCTTGGTTGCCTTGTTGGCTTCGTCTGGTTTTGTCGGTGCAGTTGCCTGCGAGAAATCTGATTTTACAGCTGATGCATCCGGATTGGATGACAAACTAGTCGCGGACGCCGATGCATCTGCGCTAGATGATGAGTCAGTCGCAGAAGATGATGACGACTCCTCTGTTAACGCTTCCTTCGATGATGAGCCAACCTCTGCTGGTTTTACGACGGGGACCGAATCTGACTTCACCACAGGCTCTTGTTTTGGTAAGTGTCCAGCATTGATATCCCCTGCACCCACAAAGTATTCGTCTATTCAAAATGAGGATAAAGAATGTCAGTAAAACAAGACTCAAACGTATCGGCTATACCCTCACAGAAAACCAAGGCGAAGACTCACATGGATGCACTTTGACAAGATTGGGAGAATACTGCCAAACATCGGCTCGATCGTCAATGACTACGACCATAGAGGTATCACAGGGGAAGAGTCGCTCGATTGTTTTCTGGGTCATGCCTAATCCAAATATTCAGCATTGCAGTTGATCAGTAACCCCGACTGATTGTCCAGTTCTTTGCATAATATAGATCCGTCCAGATCCAAGTAGACATACTGGAATTTTCGTCTCGTGATAGAATACGCTGGCTGAACAATTTGCCATCTGGATCAATGCAATTCGCAACAGCCGCTGCATAATTCCTGGTTCCCATGGTATAGATGTGCAATTCGTAAAGACTTGTGATCCTTTGCAGAAAGGTTTCTAGATGAGGTCTATGATGCGAGGGATAGAAGGCGAAAGAGATGACGGGTAAGCATGCTGGGTTGCATAACCGTGATCACTGCCTCTTCAAATAGAATATAGCCTTGCCTCAGTTTAATGTAATACGGTGTGGGGCTGTCTGGTAGTGGGAACATTCGAATATCCTATACAAGCGTGCCGTGATGTTAGACGGTGGCAAGGTCGACCTCACGGTAAAGCTAGCGTACGAACATGAACGATCTCCATGACATGTCAATCTCACCTGGGGCATCTCCCCTTGAGCGTTAATCCATCCGTCAATAGCTGTCCCGACAGTCGCGTGAATAAGGGTTTGATCCAGATCTACAATTAATGAGAGTTTGCCCTCTGACAGGAGTCGCTCTGCTGTTACATGCTCTAGACGTTTCGCTTCCTATGGTTGTCAAGCACTATAGGTTAGTCTTCAAGATATTTAACACACGTAGATAAAAAAAAAAAAAAAAAAAAAAGCGCTAAATATATCTCCCTTACCGTACGACTGACGCTCAGCGATGTTGCGTCGTGTGTCATGTTAACATGGGATTTCAGGTTCCTAGGCACCGTTTTGCAGCAATCGACACAGATGCCCTCGTACTGTGTGTCATGGTCACAGCCTTTGTATTCCATCAGGACTTTGCTGAAGGATTTGTAAACATGCCCAGGGGAAATGAACCGAAGTAAAAAAAAAAAAAAAAAATGTAGACCACATATTAGATTGAGAATACATTCTTCCATGCAGAAAGAGTTGAGAGCGTTCAACCGCGTACCTGTCGTCCTCGATAACGTCTCCTTTTTTCACATGGATCTTGCCAACAATGCCGTCCTTAATGGCACGTATTTCCGCCCTCCGCGCATGGGTCGACGTTGCTCCTTCGTCGACAAAGCCCTCGACCTGCTCTGTGTACTCGTATTCGATCAGCGAATCGCCCTCGGACTGTGTCTTTTTTGGCGAGGTCTTGATGGCAATAATGGTGGCTGGCAGACAGCCCGAGGAGATGAAGTACTTGATGTTGTTGTCTGCCATGGCGGCAATCCTGGGCAGAGTGGTGCTGTGCTCGATGCTGCTGAAGAGAATAAAAGGGTGATTGTGGGGCAAACAAGACAAGGAGGGAGGGGGGAATTGTACATGCGTTCTTTCGCTGGGAACAAAAGTCGCGTCAGCCGGACTCGTTAAATCCAGATTTAATAGTAGTGGAAATAAGGTCACCCTCAACCTCTTCCCACACGGTCCTCCTCAAAGCATGTCGTTTAAACCATCTGCCCTCTTTTTTTTCTTCCACTCCATCTTTTCTCCACTAAACCCAATCCTTCTCTTCACTTTCTGCTTTCCCCACACTTTCTCTCCATCAACCCAAGCAACTAATTATCAATCATGGTGAGTGCAGCTTTTTGTTTCTTTTACTACTCCCTTGCAACGTGTCATCTGTTATGCTTCGCGTCGCTGTCTCCACTCCATCCCCTTTTTCTGTTACTGCATTGAGGTTTATGCCACATCTCACCCTTGGGGCGAGCAAACACCATCATGCTCGAGAACTCTCTCATCTTGGGACTTGCAAAGACTCTGGCGGTGCTGCAACTTTTCGAGCATCGTCTGCACAGCTCATTTCTCTCTCGCGAGCGTTACACATAACTCGCTTGATATATTTTGGCACCTTATCTTTAACACGTCCATGGTCTTTCTTGGTTCTAGGATGAGCAATACGACGTCATTGTTATGGGTACCGGCTTGACCGAGTGTATCCTCTCTGGCCTTCTCTCGATCGAGGGCAAGAAGGTCCTCCACATGGACCGCAACGACTATTACGGAGGCGACAGTGCCAGTTTGAACTTGACCCAGGTAACGAATGGTCCTTGTCATTGTCTTACTATTAATGCCCGTTGCCCATAAGCTGGATACTGCCAACAGGGAGAAAGAAGGGGTGTCCAAATAGCTCTTCGTCTCCTTGCGTCTGCTTCCTCTCTAGGCAGCTCAGCGCGCTCAAAAAGAGAACAATAAATAAAAGGTCCAAGTGCTCACGCGTGTTAATTATATTATTAACTCCTCCTGTCACGGCATCACTGTAAATATAACCTTTAGCTTTTCAAAAAGTTCCGCAATGGCGAGGCACCTGTTGAGAGTCTTGGAAAGGACCGCGATTACAACGTCGATTTGATCCCCAAGTTCATGATGGCCAACGGAGAGCTCGTCAAGATCTTGACCCATACCGACGTCACCCGCTACCTCGAGTTCAAGCAGATCGCTGGTTCGTACGTGTACCGTGATGGCAAAATCGCCAAGGTCCCCGCCACAGAGATGGAAGCCGTCCGCAGTCCCTTGATGGGTCTCTTCGAGAAGCGTAGGGCCAAGAAGTTCTTTGAATACGTTCAGACCTACAGACAAGACGATACATCCACCCACCAGGGCATGGATATGGCCATTACTCCCATGGAGGAGGTCTACAAGCACTTTGGATTGGAGCCTGGCACCATCGATTTTATCGGACATGCCTTGGCTTTGCATTTGGAGGACAGGTACGTTTTGCCGCTGCTCATCTTCTATGAATATGTCGCTCACTTTTGTCCATTGAGCCGACGAAGACCAACCATTCCACTAACGGTGCCTTGTATGAACATCGATGTGTATTTATAGCTACCTGAGCCGCCCTGCTCTCGAGACCTTTGAGCGCATCACCTTGTACATGTCCTCGATGGCTCGCTGGGGCAAGTCTCCTTACCTTTATCCTCTCTACGGTTTGGGAGAGTTGCCTCAGGGCTTTGCTCGGTAAGGATTTGTTGCTGTTATCAACGCCATTGCAAGCATTTATTATCTACTGAGAGAACAAACGCGAGCTGACAATACTCCTACTTGACATATCTAGTTTGAGTGCTATCTATGGCGGTACTTACATGTTGGACAAGAAGGTTGATGAGATCGTCTATGAGAACGGCAAGGTCGTTGGAGTACGCTCGGGCGATGAGACCGCCAAGTGCTCCCAAGTTATTTGCGATCCCTCGTATGCCCCCGACAAGGCCCACAAAGTCGCACGCGTGATCCGCGCCATCTGCTTGCTCAAAGGCCCCATCCCCAACACTGAGAACGTTGACTCTTTCCAGTTGATCATCCCTCAAAACCAGGTTAACCGCCAGAACGATATCTACATTGCCGGTGTCTCTGCCTCGCACAATGTCTGCGACAAGGACCATTACCTTGCTATTGTCTCCACAATCGTCGAGACCGATAACCCACAGGAAGAGATCCAGCCTGGTCTTGCTCTCCTTGGCCCCATCGTTGACAAGTAAGGAGCACGATCTTACGTGTGGCACGGAACACGTTGATCCTATGTATCGAATCCCAATACTCACAAACACTCTTTTTTTTTTTCCTAATAGGTTCGTGCAGATCGCTGACATTTGCGAACCCATCCATGACGGAACCAAGGATCAAGTCTTTGTTTCCAAGTCGTACGATGCCACATCGCACTTTGAGACTGTGTGCGACGATGTCAAGGATCTGTACAAGCGCATCACCGGTAACGATCTGGTGTTGAAGCAGCGCCTGACCCAGGAGGAGGAGCAGAAGGAGATGGCTAGCCATTAAACCAGTCGAGATCAATGCTTAGCTCTACGTATATTTTTTTTTCAGTTTTTTACAAGCTTCGTTTAAAGGGGGTTATGAAATAAAGTCGACTATTGTGCCAAGAAAGACGCTCATGAATCCACTCAACAAAGGCCACGTTCCTTGCATTGTTCTAATTGCCTTTTTCAGAACACCTTTTTCTTCGTGAATCGACTTCCTTCGACTCTCTCATTACTTCATTCAACTTTCATTCTGCCGCTAGCACCCTCGGTTACTCTCCCCTTTTTTATCCTCTTACCTATTGTCATCACAGGAAACACTCCATTACGATGAAGTGGTGGTCAAATCACCGCTGGCAGGGCATCAGTCTTATCACACTTTTGGTCGCTACTATTACTCTCTTCTGTTCCTCGCCCGTGAGTGCGTTTGGCAGCAACCACAAGAAGGTTCTTCTCAAAGATGTCCAAACCTTGACGCTACACAAAGACAAGATGACGGCCGGACGGAGGGCGAGTCCTGTTCCTCAATTGACCTGTGTTGGGGGCAATGCTTGTGGAGACTACGAACCAGGTATGACGAGATTGTCACTCGCGTTCATAACACGATGTGCCTGTGAGTACAAATCGATCGACTAACATATTACGATGGTTCTACTGACATTAGATATCGTGCAATGCACAAACGCCGGATTTGATGGTAGTGATGTTCAATGGAAGTGTCAAGCGGATCTGCCGGATAACCTTCGATTTGGAGAGCTGAGTGTCTACTGCGAAGGTACAGACAGCCAAGGATTCATTTCCCCCCCCCCTCCTACAACAGATGAGACCATGCGAGGCTCCTTGTCCTCCCTGTGTGAAGTAATTGACACTCACAGATATATCGTTGACTATGTGTTAGGTTTCGGCTATCCGGATGACCCATACGTGCTGAAGGGCAGTTGTGGACTGGAATATAAGCTCTACTACACCAATATCCATTCTAACCAGGAGCGATCATGGGGACCACAGACAGACTTTAGGCAATGGGCTGCTAAAGGTATGGGACGAACAATTGTCGTGACATGAACGTATTCACGGGTGTAATGAAGTGTATAAAAAAACCCTCCGGTCGTCTGAACTCTCTGCTGTGTTGTCTTTGGTTCTTTTTTTTTTTAATAGCAAAGAGACAATCATGGATCGAGACAATTTATCTCTGGACATGGGTCTCCATTGTGGGATTTATTCTCTATTCCTTTATCAGGAACTGCTTCCAGCAGACGAACAATGGTGGACGAGGCGATGCCCCACCACCCTATAGGGCCTCTGGAAGCGATGGTTTCGGAGGAGGTGGCGGTGGTCCCGGAGGTGGAGGTGGAGGTGGGGGTGGTCCTGGGGGCGGATGGGGAAGTGGATGGGGCAACAACAATTCGTACCAGGACAAGCGTACCGGTAAGCAGCCGAAAACGAATGCATTGCATTTCTATGACGATGTTGCACAGCACTGTTAACTAAACGAGTTAATTTTGTGCATTTATCTTGTGTTTAGATGGATCGTCTTCTGAAGGATTTAGGCCAGGATTCTGGTCCGGCATTGGCCTAGGTGGTCTGGCGACTTATCTGGCGACCAACGGAAACAGACAGCGCGATCAAGGTTACCGGCGGACAATGTACGATTCAGGGCCAGCTTGGGGAACGACATATTCGCAGCCATCGACCTCATACGGCTCTTATTCTGGTGGATTGGGAGCATCATCTTCTTCGCCTTCGTCATCCTCGTCTTCTAGACCCACACGATCAGCGACTGGATATGGAGGAACTCGACGTCGTTGAAGGAAACTGACAGTAAAATAAAGCGATAACACTGCACTCACTCGATCTTCTTTTTTTTGAAACGGTAACATACATTCAAGCAACAGTTGCACAAAAAAAAAAAAACAATGAAACGAAGATATAGGAGTAATAAAACGTATGAAGCGAAAGCAAATTTATTGGTGTAAAAAGACAAAAGTTTACTTCTTCTCGGCAGTCTCGACACCAGTGAGGGCAGCGCGCTTCTCGGCAACACGCTCGTTGCGGCGGGTGCGGGCAGCCTTAGTCTTGTTGCGGTGAGCCTCGGCCTGGTCAGCGATCAACTTGGCACGGAGCTTCTCAGCCTTGACCTTGTGGATGTACTCCATAAGAACACGCTTGTTCTTGAAGACGTTACCCTTAGCCTTCATGTACAAGACGTGGTACCTAAACGAACGGAAGAACAAAAACCAAAAGCGAAGGCACAAAACCTGGTCAATAACACTATAAAACATTTCCTTGAAGTGGATCCATAATGCCACTGACAGAATAGATGCAAACAAACATCTCGTTCGACTTACAGGTGTCTGTCGATCTTGCCAGACTCACGGTACTTGCGGAGAAGGCGACGGAGGACACGCTGGCGGCGCATCCAGATGACAGTGCTGGGCATACGGGCCTCAGCGGTACCCTGGCGCTTACCAGTGCCGGAGTGACGACCAGCACGCTTGGCAGCGAGCTTCTCACGGTGGCGGAAAAGCGAGTGCATGGTCTGGGGCTTCTTGATGATGAGGCCATCCTTGACGAGCTTGCGGATGTTCTGGCCTATCGTCCAATGAAAGATCATTCGTCGCTTTGTATATTAGAAAATGATCCAATTATGCAATGTCCCCAATTTGTTTGCGCTTCCGTAGGTTCGGTGGATGCCCCTTGACCAAACTAAAAAACTGCGGCGAACAGGCCCTCTCCCTCGTATTCCTGCAGTGGCTATTAGGCTGTCCTTAACTGCGCAGATAGTCGAGCTCCGGGCAAAAAAAAATTAATACTGCTCCCACGTTGGTGCGTCAAAGTATCGTGTTGTAGTTTTGGATAGACATTTTGTACGTCCTCCCAAATGTTGAGGAAATGGTTGTGGATAAGGCTCGTCACTATTGCCGAAAGACTGAAAGTTGCAAAGCAAGGTGCTGTCGCTGAGGTCAAGGTCCCTGAGAAGCCCATAGCTCTATCCTGACTTCCTGTCAATGAAATCCTTGCAGAAGAATAAAGAGCTGCTGTAAGGCTACTTACGAGAGTTGGCGTTGGCAATCTCAGTAACCTCGTTGGGGTCAAGCCAAATCTTGCGCTTGCCGCACTTCAAGACGGCGGCGGCCAAACGTTTCTGACTGCTCAAAGAAACCCTGAGATCGTAGAAAAACAAGATGGAGGAAGAAAGTTTCGTTCGAGTCAGAGGGTTGATCCAGTGACAAAAAACATTGGCGATGGCATGAAAGATCGATCCAGCTTTGAGCCAGTGTCCAGAACAGGGTGTCGAGAAAAAGGATGAAGTCGAGAATGCGGAATGTTGAATTCAGATTTAGCAGCTGTGAATCGCAGAATCAAATCAGTGGCATCCAATTTATGGCCGATCCAGTCGTTGCGATCCCGATCCAGCGATCCGCGTCCGTTCCTGATTACTCTCCCTGTGCACGAATATGAAGCCCTTGGGGTTACATTTTGAGATGAGTTGAGGAAAAGGCCGAACAAAAGATCACAAAGTAAACGAACAAATACACTGCGGAAGTGTGTTAAAATTGCGTTCGTCTCAAAGAAAATTTCCATACAGTGACGTATACACAGTCCTGCGACGATTTCGGCTTCATATGGCAGCCCCGCAGGCTGAACTCTTTCTCCTTCTCTTACAATTCCAATATGGAAAGTGTGCAAACTATGGCGAACTGCGTTTATTCATGCAATCCATCCATCCGGCTATCGATCAATACAATGGACCCATCTATCACATCACGACAGGGATACAAACCTCATTCACACATCTACAGCAACTTGGGAGATCATGTCTCAAAACCAATATCATCGACTTGCACCATACAGACAGGATGGGTGGTTCCGATGTCAGCTGGAAGCGATCCATTGTAAAACACAGTTGATTAACACTGGACCCCGACTTGCATCTTTTCTTTCGGTTTTTTTACGTCAACAGTCTCTCCTTGTTCCTGAGAAAGGCCAGTTCCAGCACATTCTTCGTGTTCTTAACACGAACGTGGAGGGCAAGACCAAGATCATGTTCGCCATGGTAAGACAGACCTAACATCTTTTTTTTGTTACCTTTGTAACCAGCTCGCTACGACCTGTGACGATGAGACTAACCAAGCTTTGCCATTATTATCTTTATAGACCAACATCAAGGGTGTCGGTCGTCGTTATGCCAACTTGGTCTGCAAGAAGGCTGATATCGACTTGAAGAAGAGGTGCGTTCCGCCAACAATCAATGATTCGACAACAAGGCATCTGCTCAACAGGATATCAACAGGAAGATGGCACTATCCTGAAAAATGTTCATCAACAGGAGCTAGACCAACTGGACCACATCAGCAGGAAGAACAAAGAAAGGATTTAGGAACTGTAGCATCTTTGAGGAAACTGTTACACTAGAACTTGCTGATCAAGGAAGGAAGGAAGGGAAACAGGTTCGACATGCGAGAAACTCACCAAGGAGGAGCATCCATTTGTATAATCCAGCAACACCGCACTTCGCATTTGGACGACTCTAAATCGACCTTGACAAGACAACGTCTTGGTTCCCATCTATCCATTGCGGTGCGCAGCAGGACTTGACTCCAATTACACATGGAGACGAACCTGAAGCTGACCGGGAACAATATCTTTCTATCTTCTGCTGTTTTACGTTATATAGAGCTGGTGAGCTCACCAACGAAGAGCTCGAGCGCCTCGTCACCATCATGCAGAACCCCACCCAGTACAAGGTTCCTCAGTGGTTCCTCAACAGACAGAAGAACTTCGTCGATGGCAAGTACACTCAGCTCTTGGCCAACGGTCTTGACAACCAGATGCGTGAGGACTTGGAGCGCCTCAAGAAGATCCGTGCCCATCGTGGTCTCCGCCACTACTGGGGCGTCCGTGTCCGTGGTCAGCACACCAAGACCACCGGTCGTCGCGGTCGCGTCGTCGGTGTCTCCAAGAAGAAGTAAATCGTAAGTATCATTTTCTTCCACACTCTCCGGCCAATCGCATGATGGCAACTGGACAATTGGTGCAGAGGGATTATGAAGACGCCTCCGTGCATGCACGCCCTTTAAAATGATGTTTGAAAAACTTATCTACATTGTCCGAATATACATGTGGACTACTTCTTATTTTCCTGATTTATCTTTCCTTTCTTTTGCATTTCCTCAATTGCAACTAAAATGCCCTATCGTTGTTTATATGAGACGTGGTTACTTACCAAGCAATCTACTTTCTGTTGAATTACGCTAGATATCAATCGGTTTATTCACTATTCTTGGGCATTCGTTGTACTTTCCGAAGAAATAAACAACGTATTAGTCGAAAGCATGTCTCTATAGATGTTCACTCGCTTGTAATTGTATGGGATCGTTGTGGTAGTCGTGTCGCCTGTAAATTTGTTCAGTGCTCCGACTGCAGATCGATATCCTAATGAGTCAATGATGCCAATGTAGAGTGTGCCTTGGAGCTGGATGCGATACACCTCAATAGTTTGTGGCCCCTTCTTGCCTCGGTGTGCCCCGCGCATGACATGATTCTCCTTCTATCCCCTGTGGAGGGTGCATAAGCTTCCCCCCCCCCCTTTTTTTTTTTTCCGGCGGCTCAGCACTGCACTATGTATTCCGATCCATGCTCCCGCTTAGTGGTAGTGGTGCTCGAAGCAGCGGTACGCACGAAGGGAGAGAGCATAGGAACGGTACGGGCCTATTGGAGGACAGACGACAAGGTCTCCTTTTTTTTTTGTGCGAACGCGTACGGAAAGAACCATGAACCGAGCAACAAGTCGAGGAATGCATGCCTTTCTTCATTTCCTCTTCGTCTCTCATTCGCACACCTCGTTCTCCAATTTCTATTCAAACCCTTTATTATTATTCGTACAGAAAAATGCGTGCCATGGATGGACAACAACATATCGATAGAAGTATTGGAGTCAAAGAGAGGACTTTGTCGACGGGTCAAGGCCACGGATCAACTGGACCAATTGCCTCTGTAGTACTTTCAACAACAACACTGGCGGAAGAGAGGACATCAGACGGCGAAGTAGGCATACATCTCCACTTGGCCCTTAACTCCGACAGCGGCGGCATTGGTCGCGGTGGTGATTCACAGTCCTATCGGCAGGCAGGGCTGCTTCGTTCGTCCGACTGGGGGCTGCAACTGCACCTGCAACAAGACAGCAACGATCCTAAGGAGGATGAAGAGAAGGAAAAGGAGCAGGGAGGAGAAGAGGGGGAGGAGAAGGAAGAGGTGGGGGACGTGGCCGTGGAAAAGAATGGCCAGAAGATGAGGTACCCGCTGTTGCACCAGCAGCAAAGGAAGAACGACGGCAGGAACACGCTGAGCGCCAGTGCTCCCCATGCTTCTGCTTCGACTTCAGCTTCTACCACACCCACGCCCACTTCCACTTCCACTTCCACCTCGACGCTGTCTTCTCTTCATTCCACCACTCCCTCTCGCCTCCCTTCTCTCCCTTCGTCGTCCTCCTCGTCTTCGTCGTCTTCCCTTTCTGCCTCGCACCCTCCTTCGACCTCTGCCTTGTCTACCCCGGAGCACCTGGACACCGCACCAGCTCCGTTGCAGCTACCAAGCCTTTCGAGAACCCCCGTCCTTCGCTCCCCTTCCTTTTCTCACTCTCATTCTCATTCTCATTCTCATTCCTTTTCTCATTCTCATTCTCATTCTCCTTCCCATTCTCTCTCCCATTCTCCTTCCCACATTCGCCCCCATTCCTTCCCTCGCTCACACACACCGCTGCAGCGCTCCCAGCTGCTAACAACGACAACCCGTACGCTTCCCAAGGCACCTGCTTACGTCCCTCGCACGGCTCTTACTTCAGCACCAGAGAAGCCATCCGTTGTCTTCTGTCAGGCTGTTCTTGTGGGAATAAGGCTCGCTACACCTGTGCCATTATCGACCCGCACGCCCGAACTCGTGCACGCACACCTCTATTGCTCCTGTATCCCTTTTCATCTCGACCTGTTCCTGGAGGACATCGGCGACATTTCCTTCCACACTGCCCTTGCTGCGTATTCCCTCCCACTACTTTGGGTCTTCGCACCCGGACTCGGTCTTCTCCTGACTATCTTTCAAGCCTTAAGTCTACTCGCAGCCTTCTCCACTTTTCTCTCAGCTGATTCAGAGCAGTCGTATAAAATGATGGACCCGCCTTCCTCAGCGTCTTCGTTCACCCCTTCATCGTCACAACAACCTCAACTGCGCCATAATCAGAATAGAGGCCATCACCATCGTATGGCCATGTCTGACAATATAGTCAGACCAAACATTGGTGGTGCACAGGACGTTGGTCAGCCATCAGGAAGCCATCATCATTTTATCCATCACGCTCAGGACAACATTACAAGCAACGGCAGCAGCAGCAACAGCAATAGGTCCGGAGGCCCACTTGCTCATTCAACACCATCATCATCACCACTGCTGCCTCAGGTTTCCAACATCGCCCGACAGACTCAGGTCGATATACAAGCATCCCATCAAGGCCATGATCATGTCTTCAATTATGCCTTCGATCCAATGTCACATGGATACGATGACGAAGAAGGGATCGACGACGGCGAAGATCGACATAGCGACGAAGGATCCGAGGACGAAGCCGGATACAACGAGATGGAGTACTATCTGCAGCGATGCTCGATCTGCTTTGATGCACGCCTGGACTTCTGCCTCGAGTACTGCCGTGATCAATTCTGTCGCGACTGCTTCCAGCGGTAAGGGACATTTTTAGGCACTTTTCAAATGCAGGCGGAATGTCATTTGATTTGCATGCATTTGATTGGACCGCACAACCCCAAGCGCAACTGTGGAGCCTATCGTAATTTCAACATACACAGCTCTCTCTCAGCAAACAACGCGTAGAAAACTATAGGAAATTGAACTGCAGATCACACACACACTAATCCCCTTCTGCACGCATTCATATACATCTCTCAGCTCACCTTTCACACTTTTCGCTCTCACCTTGGTTAATCTTCGCTATATTAATGCTAATTCCTCGTCGATACATGATCCATTCGATAGGTATGTGAAAGAGGTGGTCAGCAACTCCTGGGGCCTCAATGTGACAAAGATTAAGTGCCCTGTCTGCCAAGATATCATTTCGATGTCTGAATGGACCAAGGTATGTTCATTTCAAATGATGCGCTCTCCTTCGCATCGCCTGCAACACTATTACTCACGCACTTCGTGTTTTTGTGGACTAGTACGTGGACAAGGCAACACTTGCGCAGTACAACCAATACAACCAGCCCTATCGTTCATTTTCACGATTTTGCAACCAATGCGACCACGAGATGGTAGTCTCGCAGGTCAACTGTGCTTTGCTCACCATGCCTCCTCGAGAATTGATGCCTTTGTTCGATGGAATTCTGGCGGATTTGAAGTTGTTGTTGACTTTGGGAGGCATTGAACTGGATGATATCACACCAGCCTCTTCCTTGTCTTCACCAGCAAAGGCCACATCCGGCCATGCCTCAACCACGAAATCAAAACAGCGCCCAATTATTTCAGAGCGAGACCAAAAGGCACGCAACATCATCCAGTCTTTTGCGGATGCTTACAGATCCTATTGCGGCGACTCGCGAGGAATACAATCGAGTCTGCCATTCAAAGCGCAGTCATATGTATCAAGTCTTGCCTACCGCGCCCTGGGTGGTCCCGTCGTCCAAGCTGACCCATTGGAACTGGCAAATCAACCCAATGCGGCGTCCCAACAGTCTCAACAGCCAGTATCCTCGTCTTCAATGTCAACGCTACACTTACCACCAACTTCTTCAACCCCGCAGCCGTCTCAAGTCTTAAGGCCTTCACAAATCCCACAGACCTCGCAAGCGACTCAGACACATCGTCCCCAGGCTGCTCCGGAACAGCTAGATCGTGCTCCTGGCGCCTTCTTTCTACGTAGACAGCATCCATTGAAAGCGCATGGCGTGCTGGAGATGTACAAGGCACTGATGCTGTCATTGCTTGATTTGTTCGACCTGAAGGAGAAGCAATCTGCTGACGAACCGCGGACGAGCTTTTGCATTGACACAAAGACGATGGAAGCCGGGGACGATAGAACATCGCGAGTCGTAATTAATATCGGCAACGCTACAGAAGATCACCGTTTCAGAGCTGGAAACGACGGTCAAGAGTCAAATGATGGATCGCATAAACCAGGAACTGAGCAGCAGGATACTGTCGTGCATACATCAAATATCAAGCGAAAAGGGCTGGCGCGTGTAGACTCGCCGCAGGCAAAGAGATCACGCTCTACACGACCAGGAGTGATTACACGAGCCGAAAGTAAGCGACAGGTGGAGATCAAGAAGGCCATTGTCCATCTTAGCAAGCAGCTGTCAAGCATGGAGACCCGTCAAGAGCAATGGAAAGAACTGCAGTTCCTTCATGTTCGTTGGCTTCGATGGGATCGGTGGTATGCAGTCTGGCTATGAACACAGCATATCGCAGTACAGTTTTCAAAGCATCTTTTCATTGTTTACTAACTCTGCGATAATGCTATGTACTAGCACCAACTGTGATCATGAGCTGTGCTTACAGTGTGGCGAATCTTCGCACCATAATTCTGAGGACTGCTTTGAACATATGCGATCGCTGATCACCGAGACGAACGGGGTATCGGATCCTCAGAGGCGAAGATCGCTCAGCGCGAATGAACTTCGAGCGTCCAATAAATCGGCACCATTTGCAACCTTGGCCAGGAAAAACACACCACGGCCAGAGTTGGATCTCAGTACGATTCAATGGAAGCTCGCAAACACAAACCCATGCCCGAATTGCTGCATTCTCATTCACAGAGACGACGGATGCAATAAGGTGGATTGCATGCTTTGCGGATATCGGTTCTGCTGGATCTGTCGAGAACCTTGGGGAGCTGCATGCGGATTTTTCAAATGCGGCCGTAGAGCTGTGGTTGCCGTCGATTCGAATCTTGGAAGATCAATTAGCAATATGAACGAGGGATCCACAGATGCCCTAATGACAACTCAAGGACAGATTGCTGAGGATGGCCAGGTCCGATCTCCCTCGACTGCCCATGGCTTTTCGGATGACGTCGTTCAGAGCCAGGTTGAAGTACAACACGTTCTTGAATCTATGCCTGCAGCAACTTCTGAAAAGGTATACTGAGGTTTTTTTCATGTTCGATATACGACCCTGGCGCAGATGCGGTGAACAGTGGCACTGACTACTATATTCTTTTTTGACAGCCAGAGATCGGTGTCCCAAATGTATTTGTTATCCACACCAAGCGATCCAGGGCTTGAGAGAGACTTGAACGATGGCGCAATTGCATGTTGGATGTTTGGCTGAGGACATTGCTGCACCCTGAATACTACAGCACGAGCACACCCCATACTTCCAAAGATCACCGACAATCCCATTAGAGCCTAAAAAGGAAATGGTTTACCCCGCTTTGGATGCAGTAGCAGTCACCCATTAGCACGAAATAAACAAGCATCACCTCTGTTCGCACTTCAGACAACTTTACCTTCCTCTTCCTTCCATAGTATATGGCCATATTCCACATGGACGTTGCAGATAATACAGTAGCGCTTGTGACAAAGCATTGCGGCCTCCAACTGGAGCTCTATCAGAAGTGTGTCACCCAGAACCCTGAGAACTGGGACATCAAGTGCATTACTCAGAAGCGCGCCTTGGCAAAGTGCTCCGAAGACAAGTAAGCGCACCTTTTCAACTATTAAGTCACACCCATATCTGGCTTCAGGATCAAAAGCACGCCGCTTTGTTGCTCGGAAATAAACCCATTGACAGCTTTGTTGAACTCCAAGTCACTTTTTATATTACTAATCTACTTTTTTTTTTTTTACGTTGTATGTACATGTGTGTGCACTTGGATAGTGTGCCGATCATCAAGCATGTCAAAGAGATGTGCGATCCATTTATCAAGGACTACGACGCCTGTGTGATGAAGAATCAACAAGACCCGACTGTCTGTCTAGAATCGCTCAAGCGGCTGTTCCACTGTACAGAGGAGCATGGAAAATTGCCTCCAACAGGACCTCCCCGCGCGGATGCTGCTTCAGGAACATCGGATGCCAAGGCAGGAGCTGGATACGGATACAGAGGAGGCATTTAAGACAGAATTAGATGCATAAGAGAGATGACTATAACGACATTGGCGGCAGTAATGGCAACAGCAATAACAGGAGCAGGAGCATCGATTACACATCACTGTTTATACATGTACGCAACTGTTAGCGACCTATTCGACGGTACTCTGCGTGGAATGCATCTCAGATCGTAATACAGTCAGATCTGGAGGAGAGTGGTCATGGCACTTGCATCTAGTAGACGACTCGACGTAATAAAGACCTGTGCTATCCAGTAGAACAAACCAAGACGCCGCTGATTGGCTGTAGGGCTACATTGGAAACGTTCTCATATGTCTTTGGCCTCAATCTGCTACACGTTCCTGCGTCTTCCCCCTCTTTTCTTCTTTACTCCACTTCTTTGAACAATTCCTTCGCGCCACCAAGAGCGCCCGTTTTTCTTTTTTCTCTTCTTTATCGCTCCTCTCCACCCGAGCACTCTTTCTCTTGCATTTCCTCTTCTCCCTCTTCCTGCAGCTCCATCAGCGCATACTCAACCTCACCGATATCTCCTTCTATGCTTCACAACTTGTCAAACACAGCTCTGCCTGCTTCTCCTTCATTTCGACTTCACTAAACAAGAGCTTACACATGCTCTGTAGCTTTAGAATCATCAAGAACCTCTAAAGCTGTCTGTGTAGACTCCAGGTAAGTGCTCCCTTCAGACCGCCCACCAACCCTCGCTTTTGATAAAAAGTTGAAGGAATGCCACCAGAACTGCTCTTCTGTATAACATGTAAACAGCTTCAGAACCATGCCAACTATACCTCTCCATGCTTTTTTCTTTTTTCTTTTTTCCTTTTTCTTTTATCGCCTCATGATTGACAAGGTTTTTCGTGCTTAATCGCCATTCTGGTGCTTATTCACTCGTCGCATTCTCAGAGGAATGTCTCTGCATTATATAGGAGTACGCCGCCAATGTCTCCTCTTACCGATCACCTGTCTTCACAACGCCATGACGCGTTCAAACCATCATTTCTTCTATTACTCTATTGCTTTTTGAGTTGCTATCGGCAGAACTGAGATGAGAAGTCGCGGTCAGGTCTATCGCGCTCAGTGATGATCGCCATTATTTATTTTTTTGACCCCTTCTGAAGAGCATTATCAGGATTTGGTATACAATACTTAAGCTGAGACAGCTTTGAAAACCGCATTTGAGATCTACTAAAAGCGGACGAAAATGAATGGTGCATTATGTCAGATTCTTCATTGTTTGCGCCCTTGAGCGCGGTCGCCAAGAATTGAGACACGAGGTCTCTCGGCTCTTTTGCTTTCCGCCTCTGTGAATAATCGAACCGAATAACGACTTTTTTTCCATTGCATCTCATGTCGATCTAGATCTATAGTTGAGACATTTCTTCTTAATATCCTCCCACTAGATCACAATTCACAAAAACCCAAAGAATCAACCTTCCAAAGCTCCACAATTTGACGCGGTTGCTTGAAATCCTTTTTCAATACCATCATACGATATCGCTACAAAAATGTACGCGCAAAATTACAAGAGAATGTTCTTATTACTACCCTTGAACCGTTCACCATTTCTGATTCCATTCACTTGATATGGTCCTTTCTTATTCTTTATATTGTTTCGCTTTTGAATGGTTATTCGAAGGGAAGCTTGCCAACTACTGCTTAACTTTCCCTTTGTGGACGCGTCTATTTGTAGATCTTATAATATGCTTATGGATGAGCGCTTGTTAATTTCATAGGACTGATTCTAGCTGCACATGTTTGTCCTTAACATGTCGATCTCATAGAAGTATCAGATTCGCACTGAAACGTGGTCAGGCGTCATGTCACTCGAACAACCCCATTACAAAATCTCAAAAGGTTATGCCCTTCGTGGAACCAGTTCTACCGCCCATACTATATTCAGGCACAGCAGTGACACACAGAGAGAAAATGGGCTATCAGGGTACGGATAAATCTAAACCTTATGTTATCAGGGTCCATAACAAGTGTAACAGATACTACGGGATTACTAACACGCTACAAATTTCATACTACCATCACTATACTAGGCTACAAGATGATCAGCGGGCACAACACGCCCTTTTCGAGGCAACTGGGCCCCGATCTAACAAAGCTGACCAGATGCTATGCGTACCAAGAATGAGTCCCCGCATATCTCTTAAAAACGAGCGTAGGGGGGTGACTGGAAGAATCGATGGAGTTCAAGTGTCCAAGAGCGACAATATGTCCACGTTGCAGGCGAAGAGGCCGACTACTTCGTTGTCTGTTACAAGAGCTTTGTCTGTCCCGCTGTCAGTCCGTGACATCGAACCTGCTCTTCTCCTTGTCGATGCCGATCTTTGGGCCAAGTTTCACAGCCATCAGAACGAAATGATCCTCACAAAGTCTGGCCGCTGTTTGTTCCCTTGTCTCAATTTTAAGGCAGTGAACCTAGATTCAAAGGCCATCTACACGATCCATCTAGATTTTGAAACTATGGACAGTCATCGCTTCCGCTTTTCCAGTGGCCGATGGAGTCCAGCGCAGCCCTCTGAACGATCAGGCAATGACGATTTCGCGAATAGTAAGAGCACTGTCCGCTCGGTACTTTCGCAAGGACTTTACATGCATCCAGATTTGCGTCAGACCGGTAAACATTGGATGGAGAAGAATATGATCTCATTCGCAAACGTCAAGCTCACAAACAGAGTACCGGAACCAGATACTCAACGCCTCAATGGACGCTCGAGAGAGAACGACTATATCCAAACCGGCAACCATATCTTCCACCTGGTGTCGTTCCACAAGTATCGACCGCGCATCCATCTAACTCAGTGCTCCCAGCAGACGCGCGAGAGTACCTTTTCGACAACATTCACCTACGATCAAACCAGTTTTATCGCCGTCACTCACTATCAAAATCATAGAGTCAATGATTTAAAGAAGGACCACAACCCTCACGCCAAGGGCTTTCGCGACACAATAGGATATTCACCATCCCAGTCTACAAAAAGGCGACGCATGATCTCCTCCTCGTCGTCGACTCGCTCTACAGAATCCAGCCTCGGGACGTGGTCTCGATTGGACAAGGAAGAGAATGCTAGTGACGGCGAAGGTCAAGCCAGTGAGGAATTTGAGAGCGATTCAATGGGCAATGAAGGCGATTCCAAGCGGAAATTTGTTCACTTGTGTCGGCAAAACAAGGACGACAGCGCGATGGTTACGATATCGATGGCAAGAGACACGGCACAGGTTACCGGCCATCTGAAGAGCTCGCCCGGCCTCATCGGCCACAATCAAATAACGATGACAACTGCAACGATGGACACCACTCAGCACAAGGGCGTAGGATCTACTCGCGGTAATGTCCCGTTATTTCTCACTCCAGAATATGGCTCAATCGCAAAGACTCGAGAGTCCAAAGTCGTACGGACGCGAGGCTACAATCTCGGCGATATTAGCACATCGAATGAGTTAGACCGCCTTCAGGATGTCTTTGTAGGAACCAGTTCGCCACTCAGCACCCCGCAGCCCAGAGCAGCGCGTGTCCACATCGACACAGCACCGGCCAGTTTGTTTCAAGTCACCAATCCTATGCTGCCGATCCCATCTAACACGAACACGAGCACGGACACGGCTGTGGAGTTGCCCAACCTATCTGCCCTTGCACTCCTCAACCAGGCAACGGCCGAATGCGCGGCGTTGGCAGAAGCAAATAGCTCAGCTGCAATCATGCCGACTCACGAGGCAGTCATATTCGACACTGCGCCATCTATGTCATGGTACCGGCAGTTTTCTCTTTGGGGGGAGCCTCACTCGAATCTCCAGCCGCCACAGAACAACCCTTCAGTCTTGGGCACA